TTGTTATACCGTGTACACTATTTCTCGGAAAACGCCACTTGTTCTTTTCAGAACGAGACCCTGTTCTTTTGAGAACAGGGATCCCCGCCCTTACTGTATAGAGAAAAACATCGCTGTTCTTTTGAGAACAGAGATCCCCGCCCTTCCTGTTAGAGGGAAATATCGTCCCCATCCCCCTACATGTCCACAAGAGACCTCATTAGGTCAATCGTTGCCGTCCTGAACCATTCCCTTGGTCTGGGCATAAAACTGGACGAGATGGTTATCGCCGCAGTCCAAGCGTCAGTTGCCCCTCAGGCATGCCTCCCACCGCCCTCCATCGCGGCCTATCTGGCGGCCAATCCGGCTGCCCTGCAGTCCAACTCATTCGCGTCCCTCGACATGGAGTGCTCCTACTCCGACTCCGGGTCCACGGTGTCGACCTCCCGGCCCGCCACCGAAGCTAAGTCCGGCACTGGTTCATCAGAGTCGTCTGACTCCGACGGAACCGGCGAATCTGTGTTCACCAAAGTGACCTCACTCCCCCCGTCCCGGTAGGCCCCGCCGCTGCCTCAAACCCCGCAGACCCCGCCGCTGCTTCAACCCCCACAGCTCCCGCTGCTGTCTCTGCCCCCGCAGCCCTCCCGCCGCTGCTTCAACCCCCCTAATGTCGTTATACATCCCTCCACCAACCAAGCCAGCATTCCGCTGCGACCCACCCTCACTAAAAAGCAGGTCCCGCCCCCTGTCTTCCTTAGAGACAAGGTAAAATTCACCCGTCTCTCCAAAATTTGCTATGACGTAGGTATAAAGTACGACCAGACCACCAACATGGGTGAAGCCATCAAAAGTCGATCGACGATTATCGCCGCCTTATCAGGCTATTCACATCCGAGCGTATGTCCTACCACACGTACGCTCTTCCGGAAGAGCGCAAAGTCAGGGCCGTGATCCGCGGTGTCCCTTTCGAACTCGCCAACGAGGACATTCTTAAGGACCTTAAGTCCCAAGGATTCCCTGTTGAGGCCGTGCACAAAATGCACAGCAACAAAGTCAAGAGGTTCCCGCTTGCCCTTGTGATCCTAACAAACGTGGCTTCAAGTAGTCCCTAGCTAAAGCTATGGACTCACAGGACTCCCCCATCTCCCTCTCGTTGGACTTCGACAGTCCTGAAAAACTCGACAACGTGGTCGATTCTCTCTCCACCCTTATAAAATCCTCCCTTAAGGAGAATGAAAGGGTCGTTCCGGTTGCTAATAATGATGGTATTCCCCTACATATTAGCAACCTATTGAAAACCAAGAAAGCTGCTTTTCGGAGAGCAGCAATCTATCCCACCTCCGAATATAGGCGTACGGCCAATCGTCTTCAACGAGAAGTCCGTTTCCGCCTCTCTGAACTTCAAGGCCTCGAAAAGAGTAAGCTCATGGACAATATCTCTCCCTCTCATACAGCGTACTATCAAGTGGTAAGAGCCCTCCGCATAGACGCTATCACCCACACTCCCCCTCTCTCCCGTCCCGCCGGTACGGTTGCCTTCGAGGACGAGAAAAAGGCTAAGTGCTTTGCAGACAGCATTGCCGCACAATGCTCTCCTAGCTCTCAACCCACCGAACCCTCCCACATCCAGACAGGGGAGGATAAGGTCCGCCGCCGGAACTCACCCCCCACAGCCTTTGACCCTATCACTGTGTCCAATGATTAGATCTCATTCCTCATCAAAGGACTTAAGCCCAAAAAGGGTCCTGGCGCGTATGGCTGTCCTCGTCGTCATAAGAGCATCGCGGTCTTTTTCGACATTGCAAAAGCTTTTGATAGAGTCTGGCACGAAAGCCTTATCTACAAACTATACAAAATAGGTCTCCCTGATCGTCTTGTACGTCTCGTGGCCTCTTACCTGAAGGATCGTAGCTTTCGTTTTAGACACGAGGGCATGCTCTCCTCTCAGCGCCCCATCAAAGCTGGTGTCCCTCAGAGCTCAGTACTTGCTCCTCTCCTGTACATCCTGTTCACCAACGACATTCCCATCCCATCGAAAGGTGTTCAGCTCTCTCTCTTCGCAGACGACACTGCCCTCTACTGTAAAGGTATCTCGCTACCTTTCATACGGAACAAGATCCAAAAGTCAGTTGATGACCTAGGAGCTTGGTTCCAAAAATGGCGCATCGATATGAACCCGGAGAAGAGCTCCACCGTTCACTTCGATTATAAACAACGCCGCCTCAAAAACACTCCACCAATACGTATGCCAGGGACCCCTGTCCCCTGTCCCCTGTCCGTAACGCCTCCATCGGGACTTAGAGCTCCCTACAATTCAACAATTTCTTAAACCACTCTCTGAGAACTTCTTCAAATCCTCAGAGTCTCACTGCAACCAATTCATTCGTGAGGCAGCTACTTATGCAGCCCCAATCCCCTCTCGCTATCGAGTCCGCAGGCCGAGAAACTCTTTCGGACCCGCCAAACAAACTTTTAACCGACCTGAACTGCCTCTTGGTGGCTCAGGCCAATTCTTCTTAAATTTGCCTTAGTAGCCTCCCCCTCAGCGGCTTGTAGCCGCCTGCGCCCTCTTTTCCCAAAAGAGGGTCGCTTCCGATTCGGCAGAAAGGCCTAAAAAGCCAATGCCAGGTCCCCAGATGGTGTTTAGTGGGTACACTTAGGGTGGTTAGTATAGGTTAAACACAGTGAGTCCCACATAACCACGACAGCCGGCTGTCGTGGTATGCATAAAGCATTCACCACCTCCTCGCGTAAACGGGGGCAGCCCTTTTCATTTGCTTCTGGGCGCAAAAAAAGGCTCCGGTGCATTCAATTCGACAGAGGCACTCCAAGAAGAAACATCAAGAGAGAAAAAACAAGAAAAGACTTCATAGAAGACTCCCATCTGTGAATAATAGTTGTTATTGCCGCTTTGTAAATAGTGTAATATATAATCGTCAAGAGTACCATATTTTCTTCCAAAAACGTCCCTAGTATAGTTCACCCTAACACACAGTAAATAGTAAAATCAGTTAAAATCACATACAGTCCACTGCAGTCCCCTACATTGCCATTTAAAAAATATTCAAATATATATAACTAGCTGTGCCCCGCGGTTTCACCCGCGTCATCACGTGTCCGAGGTGCGTGACATGACCTAGTTCAAGCATTTTATAACGGCTAGGGTTTAAGCGTCGTTCGCGCGCCCAGCCAAGTATTCAATTATTTTAATTTTACATTATCTCTTAAACTATGCGTCCAAATAACATGGTATAGAGAACAAAGTTCATCTTCATAAAATTGTCTTGATGATGAAGTAACTTTCGTTCGTAAGGATAAATAGGCCATGCCAATAATAACGCTCATAAATCACTTTTCAATTTTCAATATTTTTTGTCACAAAATACCAAATTATGGCTTATGTATAAGAAATAGACATGGTATCGCGGCCTTTTTTTAGAGGGAGTAAAGGTCTATATTTTTCTAGAACATTGTATTTACGTATCCCTAACGATAACACCCGCGTACGCTGGTTATTGATAAATCATTTCGGGAGTGCTTTTTCTTCTGACTTGCTTAACAAATATCCCAATTTCAGGCTAGCTGAGTAATATAGCTTAATGCTAGATAGCCTATACTATTCCACATGAATCTGGCTATAATATACAAAAAGAATTTTTCAAATCGGACTGGTAGTTCCAGAGATTAGCGCGTTTCAACAAACAAAAAAAAAACAAAAACTCTTCCGCTTTATTATATAAGTATAGAAGTATAGATAAGTATAGATTACGTCGAAACAATTTCAAAATTTTATTCTGTGCTTAATTTTTTTAGTAAATTGCTAAATAACTTACAATTACATATTTGGGTAATACCTTGATTAAAATGAAATATTGGCGAAATTCAGTAAAGAGAAGCGAAAATAAAATTTAAAGGAGAAGAAGACAATGAGATTTGTTTTTCATCTTCTTTATGCTAAAAATATTTCACGATTCAAGTTTATTTCATATTTTAAGATTTTATTATATATTATTACTTTCTGTAGAATTAACGGATAAGCATACTTAATCTTTTTCGTTTGTAAGTATTTCCACGCGACTCTGTATGCTAAGTTTTTATGAGATATTGAATTTATATTAATAATTCATTATTTTAAAATTGTATGGACGATAAGTCATAAGATTCTAAACCGCGTGCTAAGTGTTATACAGTACAAAAAAATATCTTATTACTTTCCTAGGTTTCCTAAAATAAGAAAAGAAAAACCTAAGACAATATTGGGTTAAGTTTGAATTGACTCGATTGTCATCTGTTTCAGATCACTTATTTGGGTTGAGTTGGGTTTTCTCGGTAAAAATCTTCAATAATAATGCACAGTTTGTATAACAATCTGCCTTCCAGAACATAAAATTAAGTAACTATACCTACTTATAGTTTTATTTTGCCCTCATGCTCCTCTAAAGTAAATTGTGCAAATTTCTTAAACGTATGGGAATCCACCCAATAGGTTCATAAGGTTTTGGCAAAATTACTCGAATTTGCTTTCTATAAACGATAAGTTTAAAAGTTACAAAATACAAGATTTGAACCGCGAAGAAAGTTTTATATGAGCGCCCGCTGCGGCGATAATAACAGTATACACTCATAGGCTCGTGTTTCATAGCTTTAGTTTGACGACAAAATTTTTTTCTCAGTAGAAAGCTTAGGTAGTGAAAAATCTTGGAAAATAGTAATTTGATACTTTATCGAAGCGTGTATGAATGTGTTCTGTGGTCACAAATGTCAGAAAATATACGATAACGTTCTGTGCAAAGCTGTAGCAATGACGACAGGCTGCACAAACAGTACTTACGATGCATTTTGAGGCGTAAATAAATAAAGTAATGCATAAACTATTCTGCTTCTTACAATAATTATAATTCCGCTAGTTAGTTATCACCCCTGTTGACCACTATGTTTTATTAATTTTGTTTATTGTTAGTTATTGTTAGGAGGAAAATAAATGCTCACTTCTATGCCGAAAATATTACGAAATAATTTACCTTATTTACATTTTCGTGGCCTGCAACAGCGACTATTTCTCCTCTTTCAATGCAAAAATCCAAACAGTGGGCAGCAGTTAAAAGTATCATTTGGTTTAAAATCGACGATCCGCAATTCGATAGCTCCCAAGTTATGGCGCCCAAGTAATCGCGCCAGCAACGCATTTCTAAATAAACGCTGTGTGGGAATTTTTCTATTTTAGCATATTTACCATTAACAATAAAAGGTTGCATGTGACGGTTTCCGGAGCATTTTAATAATTTAAAAAACATTAAAGTTATTACAACAAAACACACAAACTGTATTCTGTGCATCTTACTAGCTGAATGAGCAGGTACCAACTACCAATGTTGTTTGCTATAACTTATGGTTTAAGAATTAATAAGCCAATTAAAAGCAAGAGGTTAACGACATAATTAATGCGTTTTATTAAAGTGTAATAAATTTTCATACTTACGTCAAAAATTAAAAAAATAATTACTGTTTACACGTGTTATAGTACTTGTAGTGAGCGGAGGTAACTTATGGAACGTAAAAAATTATAAATGCGATAGGTAACTGAAAAAACTATGCCTACTTTTCATACATTTAAAAACCTGATAGTGAAAGTTTATGTATAGTTAGGAGGTATAGTAGAAAAACTTCTTGTAAGTTTAGAAAATAATGTCATATAGTTATTTTTATGATTTAAACGCTACGAAGTCCAAAAAATATTAATGTTATTTTTAATGTTAGGGTTTGCCGTTACCAAATAGGTAATAAAGAAATAAATGTGCTAGAACTTATTATTAACGTTCGAAGTTTAGATAGGAATACTTACCTAGCTACGGTCAAAAACGTCTTTTTAACTTTGTGAATTCCTTGAAACCAACTGCCCTTATGTCACTGTTTACTCTCGATGATTGTCACTATAAATTGAGTGTCGAGCACTATTAGCTGTTTGTCCAGCACACATAAGTACTTACTAACTACATTTTTAGTAAAAATACGATGGATAGTCTCTTTATCTTTAAAAAACCTAACTTGGTTTTTGTATACCTAATTACATAGGTAATCAATTTTAATACAGGTACCATAGTCCATAATATTATTAAAATTATAGTTTATTAAATATTTAACTCAATGGTTAGGTCCTACCTTTTACTTATTACCTATTATACCTAGCTACGAAATAAAGGTAAAAGCATAAAAGGTTACTTTATTGCTCTCCTAGCAGTAACTTTTGAATGGAAATTGAGATTGTATAGGTATGCCATAGGTACCTGTTTGGTACTAACTTACCTACCATTGTAAGTTGATAACCGAGGTATATCTACTTAAGCACCTACCTATTTTAAATTGTAAAATAGCGATTCACTTTACCATCCATACAAGCCATAAATCAATTATTAATAGCTTAAGATATTATGCCACAGGCAATCACTGGCATGCTGTGGCGGATATGGGTGGTACTGGTTTGGCTACATCCAGCCGGATAGTAAAGAGAGTGTCTCAAGCAATTGCATCCCTAAGTCGAGAAATAATTATATTTCCTGATACAAACAGAGACCAAGACAGAGTTAAGATAGACTTCTATGGTATAGCTAGATTCCCTAATGTACTGGGCTGTATTGATTGTACATATGTAAAAATTCAGTCACCAGGTAAATTGTTCATTTTGATTTAAATTCCTTTCACTAAAAGTGCATTTGTCTTAGAATTTTATCAGAAGTATTAAGTAACAGGAAAGGCTACATGTCCATAAATGTCCAAACAATTGCATCAGCAAATTTGTTGGTGCAGGATGTTGTTGCACGCTGGCCAAGCTCTACACATGATTCAGCAATTTACCAAAACAGCAATACTTTTAGAAAGTTTGAAAGAGGGGAGTATGAAGACAGACAGCCATTTACTTGGGGGTATTCGCTATCCCTTAAAGATTAAAATAAATAATTACCAGAATAATAATAGTAATAATAATAATCTTTATTAACCCTCAATTTGGCAAGGAAAAAAAAGTTAAAAATACCTATATTTTTGTTAATATTTATTTAGTAGTGAGTAAAAACATACGAAAAAAAATAATATAAAAAATATAATATACTTATTTTCGCGAAAAATCAATGTCCGCCACTACGGCCATTGCCAAATATGTAAAAACTGACTTGCTGATTTAACTGTCCGGTCTGACGGACATTGTCAATTTAGGGCAAAATAATAAATCCAACTATTTTAATATTTTATTAAGAATATAATAACTTATGACTAAAAAATAAATGCCATCTTCTTTTTACGATTGCCTTCAGTCGCCTTTCTGTGAACCAACCAAGCATTGTTTGCACAAATGTCCAGTAATTGCCCAAAAATGCCCATGTACCAGTGTCGTGTTTTAAATGGCGTTTTGTACAGCTATATCAACATATCAGCTAGGTCGACTCCATCCATATGTTTGTTGTAGATACTGTCACACAATTTGTGGACACTGTACTACTACTGTCTTCTTCTCGCCCTTCAAATATCGCAAGATCTTTTCCACAGGCTCAGCCACAGCAGTAGAGGAATAGTTGCTGTTAGTAGAAGGACATTCATCATGCATTTCAGATTCAGAGTCTGATTTTCCACCAGCATTTGATGGAGCATGCTTGTTAGGAACTAAGGCTAATACTCTTGACGCACGTGTGTGCTGTTGACAAGCAGAAAAGAAAAACAAATAAGAAAGCACCCATAACCGCAAATTAAACGAACTTTGGTGATGTCCATCCCAGCGGACAATCTAACTTGGAACAACATTTCTAGATGTTTGGCAATGTACGCTGGGACGGACAAAGAGGTTAAGAAGCAAAAAAAACCAATAGAACACACCTCATACGTTAGGAATTGCGAGTAAACATAATCACACATATATATTCTATAACCCAATGCAAAATACTTTTACTTTTGTTACACAAAACATGAAAAATATCAAATTTTTTACCTCGCTAAAAACAGATAATCGCCTCCTCGCCGACATTTTGTTTTCGAGTGACAGATACAGTTTTGCCACTCTAGAAATTCCTTTTGCACAATCTTATTTATAGAACAACAAATAATTGCCAATAAAAGAAAAAATTTTAATCCATTTGCAAGATGCACAGGATTTTTTTGAAACTTATGTCCGTCCCAGCGGTCTAAATCAAATTAAGGGTTAAAACTTATGTAGGTTACAAATAGAATTACAAAAATTACAAACAAAAAGATTAATATCATTCTGCAGATAATTATTGCTAGCAAACTTACATGCAAGCATTCATCACAGAGCTCAAAATATTGTTTAAGTAAATATTTTTAGGTATTCCTAATACATTTTGAAAGTTTAAGGTACGACCTGGAATAGAAAAGAAATATTTTACATCATATAAATTACATTATTTTATACAATAATACTTAAAAACATTTTTAATATCAGCCTCATCTCTTGACACATTATCTCAACCCTACAACAAGTGGAGAACGAAAATGCAATGTGTTAATTTTACACTTGATCAAACGAAATGTGCGAATACTAGATAAAAAATTATCGGTAAAAAATCAAAAAAAATTTTTTATGTGTACTATTTAAAAATAAAAGCATTTTAATTTTTTTTTTTGGTAAAATTCCCTTCGTTCGGTTTTAAATTATTTTCTCTTTAAGTAAACGGTATATTTTTTTCAAAGTAGTTTTATTTGAAAGTTAGAAAGATTAACTAGCAATAAAAATTAAGAAAACCTACGATATCAAGCAGGAAATTTGTCAAAAAAATAATAAGATAATTTTTTTTGTTAAAAAAATACTTTTATTTTTAATTTTTTGGTCTGTAACTTAAAAACTAGTATGTTGAGATAACCTTTTTAGCATGTTTTATTAAACTACGTAGCTTACGAAACGGGAACAAGCACATCACAATCAGGCCTTAAACCAATTATTTGCTTTATTACATAAACGATGGGTCCGGTTGAATTCGAACCCAGGACCAAAAGTCGTCAAAGTGACGTAATACCTGATTAAAATCAACGTCGGTGTTGAAAGTTTCAAATAGATCTATTCAATTAATAAATAAATGTAATAAATATATCTTAAACCTTAAATCTTAGTGGTTACTCAGTCTGAATACTGGCCGATAGTATGGCGGTACTATTAGCTCTAAACAGCTGGTATGTAAATACAACATTGTGATCTTACAATAGATAAATTGGATTGGATCTAGAGGCAACGGCGCGCCTGACGAACTAGTTCGAGGAGGATCAGCGCTTGTTATCATAGGGCAGGAACCGACTGTATAATCGATTCCCTTTGGGTATGCTCGTTCCTACGTAATGTAAACATTTCGCCAACCAACACCCTCATCTTTGGATAAGACATGAGCACTATTGGTGGTTTGCAGATGATCTAGTTCATACGGTAAAGTTTCGGCCACGGGAATAGGGAAAGCGGCGTCTCGAAATACCGATACTCCTCTCTCCCACGGCTTTACTTCACCGACCTTCACCTTGGGCCAGCCAAGTGGGTTCCTCTTTGTGCACCGTAATTACTTAGCCACGACTACTATACCCGAACAGGACGACAATTTGGGAACTCGTCAGGGGGAGGGGGAGGGGTATGATATCTGCTGCTCATTTGTCAGCTCCTTCTTTTTTTGGCCAAAAGCCACATCGGGCACGACTTTGACATCTTAAGGCCTGAACATATATAAAGAAAATTCCCCGTAACAATAGAAAACATCGAAGTATATCACCTAAGCCACATAGCATACAAAAAGTACAGTTTTCCTCGATGCAGTAGATAAGTTATCAAACAGAAGTCCACCGAGAATTTTTGTCAGTCGTTCGCGTAGGTCCTTAAAGCATTATGGCTTTCAATAGCATTTTAACAATCAAACTAATACTTAAATAAAACTAATTTTACGGTTTTTATCACGGTACTACGCGATACTACTACTACGCGATAAAATCCGTAAAGTTAGTTTTATTTAAGTGTGTAGTGTTCGCGTAAATATAAGAAATCATTAATCAAACTAATAATTCACCTAATTGTAAATGAATATTGTAGTATACCCTGGATATCTATAAATAACTTTGAATAAATAAGGCGACAGCTGCATTGAGGAAACAAAAGATAAAACAATAAAACCACCTGCGGAACCAAAAATTTTGCTAAGCTCATTATTAAGGCTTGCAACTCTTTTCCTTGTTTCTAATCCCCACCTCGGCCAAACCTTAAAATAAGAACATAAAACGAAGTCGGTGTTACGGTAATCGAAAACGCACGCCTCGGTGCCGTATGATGTTTCCGACTTTCACGTGGGAGGACGCTAGTTCC